GACGGGCCGTCAACAGTGTTCGAAACCAACTCACGTTCAATACCTTCCGAACAGAATAAGAAATTAAAATAAATGATCCGCAACTTTTGAGGGAGCAGAATTATTCATGTGAAAAAAAAAGAGAAAAAAAAAAAGAAAATAAATTCGATACCTTGATCATTTTCTTTATTAGAAGTTGGCGAGCACATACTGATGCAAGCGTGCAAGATATTGCGATTACCATCACACCGTTCCATTAATATTGATTGAATCTGTGCTGCATTGTTCTTTTGATCTTGTTCCAAATTGCAAAATACCTGTTTAATGCTCTCATAATCGCACCTCAGTATACGCGGCATTAATAAGAGATTGTCAAATGCTAATGCAATAACTGCGACTTGGTTTTTCATATTGTTTGAATTTGAACAGGTCGGTATGGGAATGGTCGAAGCACCAATACACAAAACTGGAACCAAGTCCAGCCAATTTGGATCACGAATAGCATCGGCGCAATCCTTTGCTAATGGATAGATCGTATTGTTTCCATCTCTGAGTATCATGGAACACTCGATGTTTTCTCCTGAACTGGTCAAACTGATATTTTGAGGCTGCAAACCCAGGAACGACGATACGTCCGATGGGATATAACAATCTTGAACATATCTTCCAGTACTTAAATTGTACACCACGTAGCTTAATTTGCTAGCACTTTTTACTATCGCATGGATTCCTTGGCCATCAGTAGCGATGCTCAAAATACTATCGTTCGATCCTTCAACGATATTCACTCTTCGGGGTGTCCGTTGGAAACAGTCTGGAGCTCTGGGATTCATAGACGATTTTATCACTTGTATCTCGTCTTTTCTCAACAGCCTGCAATCAGCTAGCAGTTTAATTAATTCCTCGGTTGTTAAATCCTTGAAATCCGAGGTGCTGAAATCTTTCTCCTTGATCTCTTTTTCCTTCGAGTCCTTCGAGAAAAATTTCACGGCGACGTAACAACCGTCAACCTTTATGACTTTACCGATGGGCACTGTCTTTACATCCTCTACAAAAACAACATCTTTCAACTGCCATTCCTCCTCGTCTTTTCGCTCCGACTCTCCCTCACTTCGAGGTGCAACTCGCTTTTGTCTTTTGTGACTTGTCGTGATGCTGCCGGTATCGCTGCACGTGCTTGAAGCCGGCGATGGCGGTGGAGGCATATCGAGGCGATCAGTAGTTTCTTTGTTATTTGTTTTGTTGATATTACCCGCACCACTATTTCCATTCGTCTCTCGTTTCTCTGCATTAACGCTGGGCAAATGAGTTCCAGCTGGCAATATCTTAAATCTGTACGTGCTATCTAAATTCCACGCTGCCCCTAATAATTGCCCTACTTTTGGAACTCCGTTGGCAATGGTGAAACCTTAAAAAATATACCAAGATTTAGAATACCATAACAGATTATTTTTAAGCAGGTTATACACATATGATATTTATTATTTGACAAATTACCTATTGCCCCAGGGTGATATATAGGACTGTTTTTCATACAAACATGTGCGCCGTAACTAATATCGTTTGACGATACCGTGGATGATCTGTGTTTGCGCGATTTAGCCTTGTATTTTTCCCACAATTTTTTACGTTGTGCAAAAGGTAATACACCCCTATAAAAGTAAGAATGCAGTGATCAGTGTCGACGTTTACTTAATAAGCAGTTAGTTAAAATAATATATGTTTCAACGTACCACCAATACAATGCACCACTTTCAAGTTTAGCAACCGTATATAAAGCACAGGTGTGAAGGGATATTATTTTGTCCAGCGTGAACTCTGTGAAAGTTTGAGCTGGATGTTCAAGGCGAGAAGCAACATGCCCTACTAGTTCATCAAGCCAAGTAGCTACTTTGCCAGATTCGGTACTAATGGAGCATCGAATAGCTGTTGCAGATATATTAACTATCTTTTCTGTTGTTACTGCCAACCACGGAGCTTTCGGATGATGTATATTTGGATTCTACAACAAGTTTGTTTTTAATTTATCAGACTGCTCATATAAAATATTCAAACAAAAATTGATTGATTCATATACCTCTGGATGTTTGTACGGTTCAGACTCTGACCATTTCCACTGATATAACTGTCCTCCGGCAGAAACGGCAATTAATTCACTATAAAGCGATGCGATTTGTACAAAACGAGGAGCAAGATCGCTGCTGCGTTCGTGCCACCACTCTAATTCTTCCGATATCCATAATGGACTTTGAGCAGCCAACTCTTTCTTTTTATTATCTATGGAATTTTTTAATTGTGTAATGAAAATTATCACATGATTACGCAAAATTCGAAGAATTGGAAATGGACGTTCGAAAGTTTTAATCTTACCGGAATCTTTATCCCAAGAGTCTTTAAGTGCTGATTCCAGCCAACGTCTCGGGCCACAATATTGACGATCTCTCCATTTACTGAAATTATCCCGATCTCGATCTCGCTCAGAAGTACGTTCACCTTCTCTATCATTACCTATTCTACGTGAAGAGCTACCTCGACTGAAAAATGTAAATATTAAAAATGTACACATGTATCATAGATAAGTTAGGAAGCAATTAAAGAATAATTACTTTCTCATTCCAGTATATCCAAACATGTCTTCAGGAAACATAGAATCTGCGTCAATTATAACAGAGTGTTCATTACTAAATCCACCATCTAACAACGAAATGAGATCTTCCGGAACATAGGTATCTGCTGTATCTTCAGCATCATCACCTTCTTCGTCATCCCGTGACAGTAAGTTATTTACTGCTAAGTTTACATCTAAATTTGTACGCTAAGAAATATATTTCAATATTAAAGCATCTTAACGATACGATGATCGGTATACCAATCTTTTCTACTGAACAAACCTGTAATTCTCTAATAATAAGGTTACGACTTTTTCCCTGCAATACTACTTGAGCCTGTGTAATAAGATCTTCCGGTACAAACGGAGCAGGCACAGATGCAATAGGACGCGAACTGCTACCACTTCCTCCGCCCATGATTACACCTGGAGGGCCTATTCTGCCTCCACTGCTGCTCCCTCCACTACTACCACCACCGCGTATGGCGGAACTGCCACGCATGATTCTCGCACGTGATCTAGACATTCCTGCTCTGCTTCCGCTTCCGCTGCTAGTTCCACCGTTCGGTGCTGAATTCGAGTTATCAACATGGTTTTTATTTGTACTAGAATAATAAAAAAAATACATTTGTCATTTCAAAGTAGTAACGATATAACAAGTATGCTATGTTTCACTTCATTTTATAGCTTACTTTCTATTTGGTTCATTTTTACTTAAATCCAATCTGTCTGACAGTACTGTAAATGCAACTCTACAAATTTTATGATCTTCTGTAAGAAGGGCAATATGCGTCGGGCCAACCACGATGTGTTTTACTGCAACCTTCAAGCTACTAAATGCTGGCAATGTTACAAATCCATATCTGTTGATCTTTTCTGCCACTTCTTTTAATCTAAACGAACATGCAAAAAAAAAATTGATTATTCCTTCACATGATAATTTCAACTTTAAACAAAGATTAATGTTAACTAGACTAATTCCACTTTTTTTTCTTATCTACTTTATTTGTTATGTGTAAATAAATTACATTGGCAACAAGTACTTAAAAAAATTTTTGCCTACTATCATGTAGCAACAAAAGCTGTACAAATTTTTTTACATGGAATATATCATCATTACAGTACAAAAACTCGCTAAAATAACAAATAGACATTAATTTTTAAAATTAAAAAAAAACAACGTTAACGCAACGTGCAAAGGTATTTATTGAATGAAATGGAAAGGTCACTGTCTATAGCATGTAAGTAATTACATTTGTTTTTATAATCTAGAAGTATATTTAACAAAATATTCTTATTATCTCTTTAATAACAAATAAACGAATTCAACAAAATATTTTTATCATCTCTGTGTTCCACATATATAGACTATTGTATATGTATATATGTATGCATATATGTATATATTATATACACATTGCACATATACATATGTATAGATACACACATACATGTATATGTATAGTATATATATATATATATATATATAATATATATTCGTATAGTAAAGGAGACAATTCCCAAACTAAATGTACTCAAAATATATTTCATTTTTCCAAATACATAGCCACGTTTAATACGAACAGAACGGAGCGACATTTAACTCTCGAACGACATAAAAATCGAGCATGCCATGCAATTGTACGAGAACCACCTTTTCTAAATTGTCAGGAGATGAACGGATTTTCTGCTGACGATACGAACAAGGCAAACTTACAAAATGGGCAACGAACGGCGTGCACGATTACAATACGGAGCGGAGATAGGCATGGCAAAAGGGCAAACATACATCATAATGGGGAAAACCGACAAACGGACACACCGCAATCTTACCTGTCGTTTAGCTGGTCGTCTGTTCCAGGCAACGGATGCACAACGAAGTGTATGGACGTCATTTTATCAACGCTCGAGAGTTAGCTCCAATAGCCGAAAGGGGAACGTCGTTTCAACAGAACCGTACACACAATTTCACCGCACCGTCGAAACGATGTTCAGCCATGTTCCTCAAGAAACAACGAGCTACGTGTTCTCGAAGGCAAACGTAACAAGCGTGCGCCTCGCGTATTCGCAAACGCATTAAGAAAACCACGCTCGCACGAGGTTTGACGGGTTCACCGGTCGAGCAATTGAGATTAATCACACGTGCAACACAAAATTGTCCAAGGGATGAGGAACCGTGATTTCCGTGGAACGGCAACCGATCGTCCAGATGCTTCTACCGCTGTTGCTGTATTGGTGTTACTCGGGAGCGAGCGCACATCATGGCGACCGGTCGGCTATAATGGCGGACACGAATATCTAGTGATCGTTGTTCGGAGTTCTAACGCCATCTAAACGTGGCGAGAGATTTTTCCACGTACTTCCCATTCATCGTCTTTCGTTATTCGACTCTTGACGTAATTTTTGGCGGAAATACTTTTTTCTTTTTTCTGTTCCGTCTGTGTTTCAATTATTCTGTCACTCAGCCACGTACATTTCTAACACAATGTTCCAACAATAATTTCATTACGCCACTCGGAATGTCTCTATCGCGTTGATGTTCGGTCGCGTGCAATTGGTCAACGCGAGTTACGTAACGAATACGAATACACCGCGATGTGTATTTCACAGTGGAATCGCGCACATGACAATTCGCAGCAACAACTCGACTGGGGGGAAGAAAATTCGCTCGCGTTGCCGCGAACGGAGCAGGAACAAAATTGACGTATAATCAAATTTCAATCTGCTGCGGGCACGGGCGCGAGACTGGCCAATCAGAAAGAGAGATTCGCTGCACCCTAGAGGAACTGACGTTTCCACCGAGCCGCGCGAGGAAGAATCCGCGATACTTTCAAATAGTTCGACCAATTACGAATTTCGATTGGATTTATTAAAGAATCTTCAATTCAGAGGAAATTCGAATTGCCCGCGTTAAGGATTGATTATGAGTAAAAATTGGATCATTGCACTTTTAATCTCTTAAAGGTTAGCCACTATTGCGGCTTTCACGCCGCCTTTTTGAACTGTATGCAACTACAATGGCTCGTTTATCTCTCAATCGAAGAGAGTTGTATACAACGTTATGATTTTCAAATTTTTTATATAAAACAAACTTTATTTTTTCAAATTTCGAACTAATTTATTTAAACTCAATCGCTTCACTTCTAACCTCTTAGTTACGCCTTTTAGAACACCACTATAGTGGTGCTACTATACTATAGTCATTATCTTTCAAATTCTTTATATAAAACTTTAATTTGTTCATTTTTTTCAATTTCAAAATTTATTCAAGTTTATTGGAACGTAATTACGTAGTGTAAAACACCGCCGAATATGTTTCATTGTTACACTGTTTTTGCACAGTTTTGGACCAGGCTTTGTCTGTAAAGTATAGCTATGCAAAAAATCTCGTTAAGGGATTAATTGGATGTGCTGCGAGATTTTTTAAACATCTTTTTGTTGTTCGCGAAACGATACAGAAAGGGAAAATGATGGCTTAATTTCCTTTCCTCAAAACATAATTTTTTTCTTTCCCCCTTATTTTTACATATCGAACTCATTTATACAATGTATCGTCGCTTATAGTTCGAAACTTACCCGCTAGATTTGTAAACGAGCATTCCGAATTTATATATTACAGTTTCAAGAAAATAACTATTAAACTATGCATTATAGCACGATATACAAACACGAAAATATGTACAATCTTTATTTAATCATGTAAGACGTTTACACTTCCTTTCTTTCATGTCGTAATTAATGCAAAACAAATATTTGGCATTCGATATATATACTTTTGCTAGGCTTCGTTCATCGATACTTTAGTACCAATGTCTAAATATGTACAGAAAAACGAATCGTTTGAAGTTATTTTGTATACTCAGTTGCGTCAACCCGGACGCGAGATACATTCGAGCAATAATTACCCATCCTGATACGCGAAGATAAGTGTAACCCTAACGCACAAATAATTGTAACAAGCAATCGAATCTTTAATCTATACGCTTTAATAATATAAATAACGTTCGATTGTACTTCAAATATATTAAAAAGGCATGGTAACAGTAAACTTTCGTATTTTAGTACGAATATCTCTAGTATAATTTACGTTTCCTCTTTCATACGTAAATCTTTGATTTATATATGGAAGATGACGTAGGATCTGTACTGAACATAATTTGAGTCACGACAAAATTAACATACATCATCAACTGGACTAATATACAAGTCGCGGATCTTGATAAAAATCTTCCCTTTCAATACCGATTGCATTGAGAATTTTAAAAAATGTGTTCCTTACTCCTCGGTCCTCACGTGCTCGCATCGACTTCTTTTTTTATTTTTCTTAAAACTTTAACTAGATTTACACCTAAACTGTACACTATACAAATTGCTCGGTACTGGTAGCGCTAATGTCGAGCAAACGCCATGCAGCTTTTGGATTAAGTTCAGTAGGATCGCGACACAATACCCAGATGTAATTAACACGCATCACTTTCTCAGGATCTCCTTCAATGACATTTTTCTTCGCATCTCTCACGCACATGATTTGCTGGCATTGAAAGCTGATTATCAGAACCGGTCCTTGTTCCATTACTTTGCCCATTATTAAATCTACATTGTTGATATCTAAAATCGAAATGTCTTATTTTATCTAGAACAATTATGCAAGGAAGAATATATACACAAAATGTGAAAAATACCTAAGATTTTATTGTCTAACTGATATCCCAATTTCTCTACTTGTAATAATGGTTGCGCTAGTAATTTGTACGGAGCTTCGTGACACCAGTCTTTTAAAATCTCGAGATTCCCCCTTACCATAGCTTCCAAAATATTTGGAATAATGTCTGTTTCGCAGTATTTTAAAAATTGTACCCTATCGAAGCTAGGATCTAGTTTACAAATTTCTGTCAGCGTTTCTGACAAGTCTGTCTTTTGAAATAGTCCTCCAACTATGTCTGTAACTTTGTCTGTCAGTAGTCTAGAGGCACGAATTACAGGATTGTCGGACTCCTCGTATTTGATCTTCCATTCCAGTACTTTATTCACATATGGATTTTTATCCTTCGAAAAAGATACAATTATTACACAATTCTGCAAATACAGGGCACAATCTGATTACATTAAATTACATACCTTAAAATGTTGCCACGATTGATAAAATTTAGAATCTTTATGCAATTCAACACCAGTGGCGTCTTCGTTAGGTTGAACAACTTTGCTATCTGTTGATTCTACTACATCTTTCCTTTTCCTTAACACTTTGGGTGGAACATATACTCTCCCTACAATTTCAATTAAAAAAAAAATTTTTACAAAGCCTTATATCAAACTATAAAAAATTGCTCACCATGCATTCCTTGATGATCCAATTCCTCACGTACAGCTTCCGCAGTTTGCGATATCGTTTGAAATGCAGTTGTTTTACCTAAAGCCTGACTCTTTTCAGATATTGTCTCCGCTGCTCCTTTTGCAGATTTTGTTATTTCCTCGCTCAGCTGACCAGCTTTCTTTCCTAATTCTGTTTTACTCGCTTCTTCAAGAACTTCTTGTACCTATGTGATATCATTCAATTAATATCTACCATACTTGTGAGTTTTATTAAAACATTACTCTTCACTTGCACCTTTCCCTTTAAGGATTCTAACTTTTCCTTGAGAGCCTCAGATCCTTTGGTAGCTTCAGATTCAACTGCTTGAAATTTCTGTCTAGCAGAACGCAATGCTTCCGACTGTTCCAGTTTCTCTGCTTCTTCCCTAAACTTTTTCAAAGACTCTTTCATCTCTTTATTCTTTTGAATTTCTTGCTTGATATTCTCGATAAACTGAGAAATGAAACTAGGTCTTCTCGCTGGATTCGAATAAAATCTGACCTAAAGAAACACATTGTAGTAATTGAACGAATCTACGCTTCATTCCAACAATGTTTTAGAAACAAGACTCACTGATAAACCTTGTACATCTGTGATTTGAGGTAACTGTGATCGTAGCACGACATTGTAAATACATATTGTTGAGCCATCCCTGGGAAGTTTTTTTTTAGATCGAGCAGATCTTGTGATACCAATAAGGCTAGTTCTACACACAGAAAAATTCTGAAACTATATAAAAAAAAAAAATGTATACATAACAAATATATATATATATATA